TTCATCAGGGAGCCCAAGGTAGGAACTCAGGGCAGGAACCTGGAGGCAGGAGCTGGAGCACAGGCCATGGAGGAACGCTGCTTACTGGCTTGCTCCCCTGGCCCCTGCTCAGCCTGCTTTCTTATGCAACACAGGCCCACCTGCCCAGGGGTGGCACCACCCACAGTGAGCTGGGCCCTCCCATATCACTCATCAAGATGTCCCTCAGACATGGCCACAGGCCAGTCCAATAGAGGCAAGTCCCCAATTGAGGCTATCCAGCACAAAGATACTACCTGTGGACATCTAAGTAACTGGACTTCCTAATTCAGATATTTTAAAACTTTTGCTTGTGATATGCTATTTCTTGATTCTGCTGTGGAATCAAAGAAAAAGGAAAACATACATTGAGATCTATTTCCCATCACTGTTTGTCATATGATGAATGATAGATTGATTGATGGATTGTTTAACAGATACCTAGATAGCTGATAGTTTATTGATTGATGATGATGAAGATAGATGATACATAGGGAGATAGAGAGATGATAGATAGATTGATGATGATAGATAGATGCTAGATAGATGATATGTAGGGAGATAGAAGAAAGATAGATGATATAGATAGACAGATGATTGATAGATGATAGATAATCATTACTTGACAAGCAATAGAGCCCAATCCTTTTACAGAAGCCTACAATTATTCACATTTTTAGCACCTGATCCAATAAATAACCAGTAAAAAAAAAACATATCAACCATAAGGAACACGGAGTATTACCTGAACTTTCCCTAGGAAGATTTGAACAAACGTCTGGTCACCCCAGGTACAGCCCCAACAAAAGACCAAAGAAAAGATTCCACCAGAAACTTTGTGAGCCAGTGAGTTTATTTGGATTATCTACTAGAATACTGGTAATATCAAAACAGCCATATCTCCAGAAATTTTTACTGCAGCACAGATAAGTTCCACATATGTGCAAAGTTGGAGTTTCTTTTTCAATTGCCCTTCCACACTCTCTACTAGCACTTCCTGAGGCCACACAGAGCTAGAACAGGATTACATACAGCAGAAGGAGAGGCCAAGAGTGGC